CTCCCTCTCCCCTCTGTTGCTGCCGCCGCGGTGGCGTCCGAGCTGGCTTCGAGGTCCGCCCTGCCTCTCTCTGCTCGTGTTTCTGCTTGAGAGAGTCTCTCTGCGGCCCCGCGCCGCCCCTCCAGCCGTTCGCGTACGCAGGATGGCCGCTGCTGTCTTCCCTCTTTTGCTTCTCTCTGTGGGTCTGTTGGCCTGGAGCTCCGACCCCATCCGCCGACTTGGGAAAGCGGGCGCGCACCCTCCAGCGCACCTCAGCCAATGCGACTAGGCTGGGCCATCCCATGTCGGCCCGCCTCGGCCCTGTTGACGCGCCCGTGCGCGAGGTCTGGGCAACTTCCAGGCGCCGCGCCCCGCGGCTGCAGCGTGTTCTTTCTCACCGCCGCCCCGCTTGAGCTCGGGTGGCTAGCTTAGCGCTGGCAATGGCCTTGATCGATGGATCGGTACCCCCCTCCTCGTCCTCCCTCGCTGCTGCTGCTTGCTGCGTCTCCTTGGCGCCCCACGAAGCTGGGTTTGTCCCGGTGGGAATTTTCCCACAGACGCCCGAGACATTGGACTTCATCAACTGTTAATGTGTCATTGCCAAAAAAAAACATCATCATCGACATCAGCATCATCACCATCATCATCGTCATCATCACCATCACCATCACCATCCGTAGCCTTTTCAGTTCAAGGCCGATGAGGGTTCCGGTGACCGCGAGACCCCTGGGCGTTTCGAGCGAAACATCCGCTCCGGCGTAGAAGGCCAGCGCGGTTCGGTGCTTTCAATTTCGAAGTCTCGACTTCATACCATAGTTTCCATATTGCCGCGCAGGGCGGCCATGACGCCAGTTCTTTCTGGGGTGGGCAGTTGCGACGGGACCGGCGGCTGCGGCGGCGGAGGACTTCAACGCGGCGGAGTCCGGAGCCCACGGCGCCACCAGCCGCGGGTTCAGCCGGCCCCGGGGCACTTCGACAACGGCGGCAACAGCGGTGGACGGACGCAGACGACCAGGCCCAGGAGCGGGGGTCAAGGAGGCAGCGGCGGCGGGACCAAGGCATTCTGCCAGAACGAGAAATGCGGCAAGTGGCTATTGGCGGGTGGTCTGGCGGATGTTGATTGCAAGTGCAAGCATGGCGGATCGGCGCGGGGATTGACGGCTCCAAGCGAACGCAAGCCTGGCAACCACAGCGGCTATTACTACGGCGACAGCTACTACGAGACGGACACCCTCGACACTTCCATCCGCGCGCTCGAGATGGCAGCGCAGCTCAGCACACGGGGCGACAAGAAGCGAGCCGAGGAAATGCTCAACATCTTGGCGCCGGATCCAGCAGGAGGAGGAGCTCAGCAAAGTACCCCTAGTTCACGAGCTGCACTCCGAGCAGCAGAGGACGCTGCACAGAATGCCACGCGCAAGCAGCAGAAGGCACACCGTCGTCGAGAGCGACTCCGCTCAGAGCCCGGGCAGGCGGAGAAGAACTTCATGGACCGCTCGGGAGAGGTTCGTCGTCTATCAATCGGAGCTCATCAAGCGCGCGAAGGTGGTGGAAGCAAGTCTACGCTGGCAGTATGCCCAAAAGCTGGACGAAGGTCACACCGCCACCTAAGCCTGGGGACGAGCTGCGGGAGCTGGTCGGGGAGGCCCACATGAACATCAACGAGTGGGCCCTGCGCGGCTGGCGACGCATCGGGGGGCGAGAGGGCCGATGACCCGAGCGCGAGATGGGTCGCGTGAGGTTGCATCGTACTCAACGCCGAGGCAGAAGAGTGCGGCCGCGGGGGGGTGGCTGGTTGGCGACAGAGCGTCAACCGAGGCGAGCTCGCAGCGATGGCCGAGATGCTGGAATACCCGCAGCCGCACAATAATATCAAACATTCACGGGTGCCAGCGACGACGCGAGAAGAGCGGATCGGATTCACAAAGAGAGGTTGCCCAAGACGCGCGCGGACTTCTGGAAGCGGCACCGCGAAGCGGTCAAGCTGAAGGAGATAGCGGTCGCGAAGATTGGGAGCCACGCCTCAGTGGCGGACGCCATAGAGGCGGGGGGCGACATCGGCGACTTCGCGGGCAACCACCTCGCCGACGATCTCGTGGGGGGCATCGTGGAGGAGGCCCAGACCCCCCAGGATGAGGTGCGGAGAACCAGGTTCGCAAAGGAAGTTGCGCTGCAGATCTGCTAGTGGGCGCGCTCGACTCTCATCGCGGCGATGGAAGCGAAGCCATCGCAGCAGCCGGCGGTCAAGAAGAGGGAAGACGAAGTTTGCGAAGCGTAAGCAGCTCATCGCCAACACCAAGCACATCATCTTCGAAGACCCGAGCGCGAAGTACATAAAGAGTGAGCAGTTCTCTACGATGGTGCCGAAACACAGGCCGGACGCCTGGTTGAAGGAGCCGTGCGCGGGGCTGGCGGCAAAGGAGGTGTCGCCGTTCGGCGCGAGGCTGAGCGAGGACGCCCGTGTGGGCCGGCAGAAGGCGCACGACGCGCATCTGGCGAATTACGAAGCGACCCAGGAGGTCCACTACTGCACTGTCTGCGGATGCATTGCGAGGGAGGTGATGAAGGACCTGGCCAAGCCGTGCAGCGGCATCCTCAAGCAGTCGGAGTTCCAGAACTTGGTCCACAGCAGGAAGGGGCAGCAGCCTGGCAGGTCCGCGTGGGCTCAGGCTTGCAGCGCAGCCAAGCCGACGGCGATCAAGAGGCCGAGCACGATTGGTGCGACGGCGAGCGGAGCGTCAAGGGTTTCAAGGACTGCTACGACTTCGGGCTGGAGGCCATCGTGGACCGGACCGCCGCAGTTTGCGGTGTCGGGGGTGCTGGCCGAGCTTCGGCTTCGGGATGCGCCGCACCCTTGCCGCAACAATAAAAAAAAACATCGTTATCATGATCACTGTCATCATCACCATCATCGCGACCACTTTCGGCACACCCCTCACACGTTGTCGTGGCTCCACAGGCAGCTCCAGTGGCACCGTCCAAATGTGTTTGCGCCACCCATATCGGCAAACCCCTCACACGCTTCAAGGCCCCACAGGAGCTCCACTCAAGTCCCCACGGGCACCGTCCACATGCGTCCGCGCCACCAGTTTCGGCACACCCCTCACAATGTTTTTGGTTCCGTAGGTTTCGCTTCAACGCAGGCTACGTGCCTGGTCGTGGTTCTTGGAAGCCTCGGAGAAGAAGTGTCATGGAATAGAGATCCCCAGGAGTTCGAACCGAGCTAGAACTCGAGCGTGCGCGAAACGCGCGTGATGGTTCTAGTTTATTCTTATTCAAGGGAGGAAAAACCACCCGGACCGTGCAATTGGCGCTTACTAGACGGCGCTGGGCGTTTACTGAACAGCCCTGCCCTGCTCGATTCCTTCTGTGGGGGCACACGACTTCGCGCGTCGGGGTGGTTATTATGGGTTTTTTGTTTGCCCTCCATGTATGCCGTTTCGTTTTCTTTTGTGTGTGTGTGTGTGTGTGTTTGTTTGGGTTCGGAGGTGGCGCACTCTTCCTTCGCTCCCTCCGTGGCCGCTCCTCCACCACTCCCCGTGCACCCAGTCGCTCCCACAGGGCCCACAGGGCCAAAAACAGGCTCCGCCCATGATTTCAAGGCGGGCATGTCCATCTACAGGAGGAGAGTGCAAAAATAGGTCTTAAAAATGTATGGGGAGGGTTTTCTATTATTCCTCACTAATTTTGATATCCTCTATTATTTTCCAACTTACATAAGCCTAGTTCTGCGGTCCTTGTGGCAACAGCCTGATCCCTGACGTCCGCCGGCCCCTGAGGTCCCGACCCTTTTTTTTGTTGGCCGCAGTTTTCAATCCGCCGGCCCCTGAGGTCCCGGCCCCTGATTTCCAGTCCTGCTCCTTGTGGCAGCAGTTTTCAACCCGCGGCCCCTGAGGTCCAGACCCCTCTTGGGGGGCCAGCTTCACGCCTGGGATCTGCTCTTGCTGGCCCCGGGGCCACACGAAAGGCCTCGGAGGCCGAACGATTTTGGAAGAACGCCCGGATTGGAGAAAGTCGATCGTCGGAGCCGGTTCCGACCCTTTCCCCGGGGCTCGGGAGCCTTGAGTCTGGACGCCCGAAATGGGTACGGAAAGAAGATGCCGCCTGCCCAACAGCGGCCGCTGTTGGTTTGGGACAACATTTGTTGCTGGGCATTGTGCCCATTCTTTCCGTACCCATTTCGGGCGTCCAAAATGAGACGGGGGTCAATGCAAACGGGGTCAGCTAGAGCGCCCGATATTGCAGGATCCTGCAGGGGCAGGGTCGCATTGACCCGGGTTTGGGCGCAGCATCCTGCAGGATTTTGCAGGATCCTTCGCATTGACCCGGGCTTGGGTGCAGGATCTTGCAGGAGTCTGCAAGGCCTGACTGACCCCGGGTTTGGATTGACGCGGGTCAGAAGATCCCCGAGGGGCCAGTTTTGCGAGTCTTTTTGTTGATGGTCCCAGGACCCAGCGATGGCCTTCAGATGCCGAACGCGACCAGAAGCCATCCGTTGTGATTGCGTCCCAGCGCGAGGATGGTTGCTGGGATCGGCGCAAGGGGGTTGATGAGGGGACGGGGGATTTAGTTGATACCAGGGTGGATCATATCTGGTCGATCCTAGCATGAGTGCGCTACAAGTGCCCAAAGTGGCATCGGCAAGATCACGTTCTGGGCTAAATGGACTCCGCCCACCTAGCAGATGTATCCAACCCTCCTGTGCCACTTCGGGCATGTGTGACCCGATGAGCTAGGCTAGGCCAAATAAAACCCACCTTGACATCCGCTGATGCCCCCCCTATCCCCAGGAGGGGGAGGAGCAAGAGCAAGAGCAAGAGCAAGAGCAAGAGCAAGAGCAAGAGCAAGAGCAAGAGAAGAGGATGGGAGGAGGAGGAGGAGGAGGAGGAGGAGGAGGAGGAGGAGGAGGAGGAGGAGGAGGAGGAGCAGCAGCAGCAGCAGCAGCAGCAGCAGCAGCAGCAGCAGCAGCAGCCCCCGCGCACATCCCCACCAGTGGGATTGTGTTTCCCCTTCCCCCGAAGGTACGCGTGCGTGGCCGGCATCCCGGACGGCGCGCTCGGGGAGGCGCACCCGCTGCTGCGCTTCAAACGGCACGCGGTGAGCACCTCCGCGCTGTATCTCTTCGTGGGCCGCGCGCTGGCGCAGTCGGGGCGCCTCGGAGGGACTCGGTGCACTCAGACCCTCCTCGCGTTGTGAGAACAAGTCGCGGCGCGTGGTGTGTCGTTATTTTCAGCCTCTGGGGGCCCTTCCGTGGTCTCGGGTAATTAGACGTTCGTTCGAACAACACGTTTTCTCACGTTTCGTAGCCTCTCCTCTACTCGTGCTTCCTCCTTTTTCCCTCCTCCTTGCTCAAAGGCACCTGCGGTGCCCAGCGTTTTTTTTGGGGTGGGCGGGCGGGGCCACAGCTCGCTGGCCCAGCCTGCGGCGCAGCCAGGCAGTCTGAGGAGTGCTGGGTACTGGCTGGGCCAGGTCCCCCCCTCCAGTGCGGGCGGGGGCTTCGGAGGGGAGCCCCGCGGCCCGCGGCGGACGCCTCGGCAGGCGCCCGCGGCCTGGATGGGGACAGAGACAGCAGGGAGGCGCTGGCGATGCGGCACGTCTCCCCGGAACGCATCATCTCCACTGCGATGGTGGCCACGCTCGGGTGGCTAGATGCTTCCCTGGGCGCAGGGCTGTCGGCTGCGTTCCCGGTTTCCGCCAGCTATGCGCCAAGGCCGAAAAAGGGCCACGCGCGGGAGGAGCCAGGCGCCGCGGGCAGCTGCGCAGGGAAGGCTGCAGAAGGCCAGCCAGCCAACCCGGCGCTGCCCGCAGACACGGAGCAGCCGGAGGAGGCGGCGACGCCGCGGCTTGAGGCGCCCCCGACCACGAGCCCGCCGCCAGCCATGGCAGGTTCGGGTGGGCGCGCCACCAGCTACGAGGAGCACTACTACCTCGCGCACTACTACGAAGACGGGGTGGCGCCGAGCCCGCCCCCGGCAAAGCAGCCCGCGCGGCCAGCTGTGCCCGGATCGCTGCCCGAGGGGAGGGCGATGCCGAGAGAGTCGGAACGACCTCAGGCGGGCGAGCAGCAGCCGCCCGCACCACAGCGGCGTCCAGCTGTGATTGCACCTCGATCGACGGGCAACGCCAGCCGCGCGCAGCGTGCGCCGGCGCCACCGCCGCCGCCGGGGAAGCCGCCGGCCGGAGGAGGCGAGGGCGGGGCCGCTGAGGATGCGCCTCCACCTCCAGGCCGCCCCCCCGAGGCCTTGCCAGGGATGGTCAACGCCGAGCCAGGCGGGCTTGCATTCGCCAACGCATGGTTCGAGGCGACGCTCAAGTGGCTGGGCGAGAGTATGGTCGGGCACGCGCTGGGTGCTATGCTCCGCCAGGTGGTCGCTTTCCTCATGGGCATGGTGAGCGCTATGGGTGAGGAGTACACTTGTGGCCGCTACTGGGCGCGGCTCCAATTGCTCGCCCTGAGCGTGGCCGCAACGGGAGTGATCGCCCTCCTCGGCTCCGTGATCAGCCTCGTCTCTTGGGTCCTGCGCACGGCTTGGACGCACTGCGCGTTCGTCATCATGACTATGCGCGGCCTCGTCAAAAGCAGCAAGACGGGTTACGACGCGCAGGTCGCCATGGACGGTAGCCAAGCGCTGCCCTGACGTGGCGCGGCCCAGATGAGGCCGAAGCAGTCGACGCAGACTACGTCAAGGACGAGGCGATGGCGAGGGGGGGGCAGCTCTGAGAACACGATGCCAACGACCTCATCATCAAGTCTGGCGGGGCAGTTGCGAGGCTGGAGCGGGGGCAAATCAATGGTAGCCGCATCGCCCGCCATGGGTGCGCCCGCCGCTTCAAGGAGGTCAAGGGCAGCTCGCACCGGCACCTCAAGACCGACCTGGAGGCTACACGAGATGACGACGGGATCGGCATGGTGCACTTTTGCTGCGCGACGCCATGCACATTGCCCCCAGGAGACTGGCCCATGGCCCACGCGGGTGCGTCGTGCGCCGTCGGCCACATACCTGCGATCAACGCGTCGGACTTAGCCAAACTCACGCCTGCAGGGCGGGCCAGGAGGGGGAGCAGAGCACGCTGCTTTTGGACGCGCCGGGGAGTGTCGGGGCTCGCTGGGAAGGCGCGCGGGCGCCGTGCGTCTCGGAGATGGAGGCGCCCACGCACGGGCGACGGCTCGGCCGAGGCGGTTGTGGTGGACCCCAACTCGGAGACGGAGTCTGAGCCGAGCGTGGGCGCGCGCGCGGCAGACAGGACCGCACGCGGGCGCTGCGTGCGAAGGGTTGTCGGGGCTCGGCGAGGACGGGGCCCGCGCTGATGCTGGTCGAGGACGCCGCCATCTCCGACGCGCGTGAGTCCCAGGAGGCGAATGGCACTCCCTCCTTCAGGGCCCGCCCGTTCCACGCCCAGTCTCATGAGGCCCAGGCAGCCCAGAGGAAGCGCGCCCGCTCCAACTGCTTCTGCGAGGAGACCGCCGAGAAGGACGGCTTCCCTCTCTGCGCCGCGCGCGCTGCTGAGCGGGGCAGTGGGCCGGCGTGGCCGGTCGCCCTCGCCGCAGCCGCACGAGGACAGCAAGTGGCAGGAGAGGAGGCAGGGCGCGGAACCCGAGCGGCAGCCATTGGCTACGCGCAGGGGCAGCCCAGCGGCCAAGGTCGCTGCGGACGCGGCTTGGCTGGTGCACGCGCGGGGCCCCTGGGCCCACGCGGCCGCGCGCTGGCGAGCTCGCGACAGCTCCCCGGCCAAGTTCGCGGGCCCCCCCCCCCGAGGCGCGGACGACGACGACCCCGGGACGGACGTGGAGGCGGTCGGGCTGCACGTCACTTTCTCCCTTCCAGACGGCACTCAACGAGCGCCGAGGTCGGAGCTGCCCGACGAGTTCCTCAGCGCGCAGCCCCCCGCCATCTGCTGGAAGTCGGGGGTGGCCTCGCGCCTGTCTGACTATTGCGACGGCGCGAACGTCGAGGGCGACTGTCTCAGCCACGCGTCTGCGGCCGCGATGGCACACGACAGGAGCCGACACCACCTGGCGAGGCGAGCGAGATCCAGGAGCAGGAGCGCCACGCCGACCAGGAAGAGCGCAAAGGACGACCTCGACGAGAGGCTAAGGCGAGCCAAAGAGTGGGACGAGGCGCAGCGCCGAGCACACCCGAGGGCCGCGCTCATCGATGGGCCCTGGCCCAGATGGCCTTGTCTGATGAGAGCGCGAGGCGCGCTTTTGGCGGCCGACGCAGGCGCGGGCCCCCTCGAGTTCTCGGCGGAGCCCATTGAGGCCGCGGACGCACCGCTCGAGGGAGCGGTCAGCGACATCGGGCTGACCCTTCTCCAAGGACGCCAGGCAGCGAGATGCAGCGAGCTCGAGCGAGGAGGAGGGCAGCACTCAGGAGGCGCCCAGGGGCATCGCGAGGCAGCGCCAGCCCCCCTTCCGCCCGCGGCAGCCCCCCCGTTGACAGCGGCGCCCCCGCCCCTGGCGTCGCCTCCAGGGCTGGGCTTCGTCGGGTTCGGCCAAAGGCCCGCCGCTGGACCGTCGCCGCGCCTAGACCCCCTCTCGTTCCGGGGAGCGGGCGGGGCCAGAGCGTCGGCGCCTCGGGGTCGCGAGGGCGCGAGATCGTTCGTTGAAGCTGCGACGAGGCCTCGGGCGTGGCACAGAGGGGCGCCCCCCATGCCCATGGAGGACGAGAGGGCATTCGCGGGGCCGCAGCCCACCACCGAGATCGGCATGGGCTTGGAAGAGCTGGCGCGCGAGCTGGGGCGGGCCAACAGGCGCTCGGAGGAGTCGGGAGGCGCGGCCAAGCGGCCTGAGGAGCAGCTCGTCCACCTGGCGCGCGGCTGCGGCAGTTTCCACGCGGCGCTCTGCCCGGGCCTGCTGGGTAAAGACGCGGTTCGTGGGCCGAGGTCGGCCCTCCTGCGTGCCCCCCCCCCCCCCCCCCCCTCCTGCATGTTCGTGTCTGATCGCCTGCGCTGCCAGTCCAGAGCAGCTGGTCGCGCGCTCCGCCTGAGGTTTCTCTGCGGGCGCGCATGCGGCAGTCCTTCTGCAGCCTTGGTCCTGCCGTCACAGATTTTCAGATGTTTGCCAGGGCGCGATTCTGAGCCCTGGGACGCGGGGCCGCCAGGCTCGCGGCAGGTGCCCTGCGCCGTCCTGGCGCTTGCCTTTGGACTTGACGCATCATTCTTCTGGTTGAAGCGGCAAGGCTCCGCGCGGTGTGCGCCGCGGGAGCTCGCGACCACTGGCAGACTCAGCCCCGTCATTGATTTGACGGCCCAATTGGGCGAATTCGAGGTGCATCACCTGACGGTCCACGCAGCTAGTCCACCCAGGCGCACCCGCAGGTTAGGTTGTTTCTTAATATTTCGGAATATCCGAGGTCGGCTCTGCAGAACACGTGCCCGCTCTTCCGGCCCATCGAGTTCCCGGTGAACATCGCCAATGCCATAGCGCACGGGCTTGCGGCCATCCAGCACGGGGGGCGCGACCACACGCACCTCCCGGACTACCGCCTCAGCTGCGCCAACTTCCCTAAGACGTCGGAGGCAGAATTGGACAATTTCGCGCCGACCAAGGACTACGAGCTGGAGACTAGGCCGAGGCACGCCACGACGGTGCAGCAGGGGGCCCAAGACGCTAAGAGGGAGTCGCAGGCTTGGGCGTGCTTCTATGGCCGAGAGCACTACAAGTCACAGGTGGGCGCCGCTGACTCCTTCATGTAGCTCAATGACGAGGCCGACTACGCGTGGCCGCCCCATGTGATCTTCAGCGTCTGGTGCGAGCTCCGGGGCAGGTAGTGCGAGGATATCCGAATATTGCGTTCGCGTCTGCTCGAGCTGCTGGCGAACGACAACCCGAGCTGGGATAGGATCAAGTTCGCGTGCCAAGCGCCGAGAAAACCAGAGGACCCCTCGGCGTGGCCCAGGATGTCTCGCACCTTCTGGATGACTCCACCCAGTTCTTCATGACGGACTTTTTGGTCAGGCACCACAACATGCTGCAGAGGTCGCAGTGGCAGATGGCGCTGCGCTCGCCCGCCGGGCAACCGCACCCGCAGCTGGCGGGCTCGGGGCGCCCGAAGGCAGGAGCAGGAGGTGGCGAAGGTGGCCTGGAAGGCGGAGGCGGAGGAGGGGCCCAGGAGGGGGGCGGCCAGGGCGGCGCTGGGCACTGGGGCAA